TGTTGTACCAGGAGATTAGATTTCTTCCTAAAAATTGACAACTTCCAGAAGTACTTTTCCTTTCCACTCTGTCTCCAGCATAGTCAGCATCACAGAATCCAACTAATTTGAAATCATCAGATTTTCTGTAACACAAACCCACATTAGAAGTACCTTTCAGATACCTTATGTCGCTACTGCGAAAATCGGCGCCGGCTAAACAGAAGAGTCGCCACCGTGCGTTATTTATCCCAATGGAGGGAAAGGAAACGCTCGAAGTAAACCTAATGCAAAGACGGGAAAGGAATGGTCATCGCAACCAAATCCTAGATTCGGGAGTCGGTTACGCAAGGGGAAGGTATTAGCACCCCTCACGTCCGTCGTACTCGACGGGATCCACGCTTGTTTTCTAGTACGGATTGTTATTCTATCTACTCTAAGGGTCAAGGGACAAAAAGAAAAGAAAATGACTCGGCAAAGTATTGCACTTTATGCCTACGTATTCCCGTCTGGAACGAGAAATCAGAGTCAACGTAGTTCGCCTACCTACGGGAAAGGAGGGGAAGGTTGCTCACTAGGATACAGCATCCTATGCCTACGTACTTTCATACAGCATGAAAGATCAAAGCAAACGTAGTTCGGGCCACGGAAGACACAGATTTATCTGACTGTTTTTTATCTTTCTGAAAAAGGTTTTCTTCTGATTACGGGTCCAAGCGGACAAAAATGACGTTTTGATTGGTTTTCAGTCTTTTACGCAAGAACTGTTTTTATGATGTTTGCAATCTCTGACGCACTAGAGACTATGACTTGAGAGTGACCACGTCGCGTGTCACCCAAAGGGTACCACACTAAGCAGCCAGACTACTGGAAAGAAACTCTCCAGCAACCCTTTCTCAAATGGCTTAAGGCTCGTAGCGTACGACATCGATTAACCTTATTACTGTGTTTTGAATGATTTTGAGATAAGAAGAGAAACGACGCTCTAAAAACCTGTAGTTGAAAATGGGAATCAAAACTACCCTAATGTTATCATGCATGAGTTAACACCTAATGTTTGTCATATTTCTCTCTTGCACAGAGAAAAACAGAGATCCTAGGGGATAAACGGGAAAGAAACAACATATATACAGTAAACCAGTAAAAATGCATGAATGCAGCAATACAAGCGAGGCAAGGGAGTCCCACTCAACCTCGAACCTGGGAAAACAATAGGCAAAGTGAAACAGCTTCACTTCAAACCTAAGGGGCAAGCTGAACAAGCCAACAAACAATACAGAAAAGGAAATAAAACCCAACACCAGCTCTGACAGCAATACCAGCTCCTACATCTACAGCTTAAACAGCACCAGCTCTGACAGCTACAGTTGATTGACAGTAAACAGTTGACAGTAACAACTTCAAGCGAGATCCTATCTTCACCCTTCAATGATCCCCAAGCTTTAGATAAGCTCCTGTCTCCAAAAGTCTCCAAGCTCTAGCAAACACTGAACCCCAACAAGTACACAGCTTCAAAAAGCAGCAGGACCCTAACTTCAACAGATAACTATCTTTGACAGGTACAGGCTTTATCTTTATCAATCTTCAATGAACTTCATTCCTCAATGGATTTATGTCTTCAATGCAATCACAGGAGAGAATCACTTAACAGATTAAGTTGAAATGCTAAACAGCTTATTGACAACCAAAGGAAGCCTAAAAGTGTTTAACATTATAAGGGAAAGGTTCCCTCAAAGTTCTACTTCTAAAATAAGCCACTTATCCCTCCAAAGGAGGGATGTGAATACCTTAGAAGGACTTTATGTCATAGGGAGGAATAGAAGCACAAGAGGCTTTCTATATTTGTAAGAAGAAATCATTCTAATCTAAGGCTCTCCCTATTTTTCCTATCTCCTAAGTCTTCACAAACCATCCTCCAGGAGAGGAATCTTCAAGCACCAAGTTATATCCCTTGTCTTAAATCATCATCCAAGGTCTTCATAAGCCTCAACAAGAAAAACTCAAGCCCCAACGCCCAATTGAAATGACCAAAACCCCCACAAACAAAACAACACCCCAATTGGGAAACACACCAATATCAACCAAATTGCAAAAATCAACTAAAATAGTAAAACTCACTATAAAATCCTAATTAAATTTCTAAGGGAACCTAACCTATACCCCATATCCCATATATTCCCTAAAACCTAAATCAAATACTAAGTACCCCAACTATATTATAAACTATAACTAATTAATTCTACTCTATAATTTTCTATGCACAATGTATATTAAGTCCTAAAAAAAACTATACTAAATTAAGTACATTCTAAAAACATCTAAGTTTTTATGCTAAGAAATCCTAAAATCTTAATGAAATATCCCTATGAATATCCTAAAATATTACAAAGTTCCTAAAAACAAATATATTCTAAACTACATACTAATATTTTTTTAACTACATTTTTATTCTAATGTTTTTTTTTATCACACTAACCTAAAGGAAAATCCTAAAACAATTAACCTATTAATATTCTAAAACATTCTAACTAATATTATAATATTTTTTACTATATTAAACTATAAGAAATTAAACTATCATTAATCCTATCTTAAAAAAATCTAACACATTTAAACTATATCTAAAACAGAAATTGCAATTTTAAAAAAAGACACACAAAATATTAAGCAAAATAAGTGCAGGGGGGGTATTAATAATCTACAGAGATACTCAGCAAGAGATAACAAGGCCCAGCCCAGGATAGGCCAAATACACACAGAAATGGGGGCGTAACGGGCGAAAAGGGAGTATATCCAGTAAAACAAAAACAATGTTAGGCCCGGCCCGCCATCTATAATTTGCACAAGGGGAGGGTGTGTGATGAGGAAAATAGGGATATGCTCAGTAAGAGGTACGTTGGGCCTAAAGCCCGAATCCACTATCATCTACCATCAGTAAACAAAACCCTTAGCTCTCCTAATTTTCCCTCACACTGTTCACTACTCCCTCCATTGAGACCCTAGCGCCGCAAATGCGTTCTCTCAAACCTCTCTCTCTGGAAATCTCAAACCTTGCTCAAATTCCTCACCCTCACAAACTTGTTCATCAACCTCACCTAAATGCTTCACAAAATTCAATCGCTATCACGAACCACCACTTCAATATCTCAGTTCAGAGTGACTTCCCTAACCTAACTTCGTTTCATAAACTAACGCTCGCTCTACCCTAGCTCTTCAGCTAACAAACAAACTACGAAGATTAACAAGTTCAGAGCGAAAAAAGAACCTGGAGATGCGACGAATGTGATGAGTTCTCTGGAAGAACTTCTTGAAGATTTGTTTTTGGAGATGTACGCAGGAGCTTGAAGGACGATGATGAACTTGATGAAAGATTCTTGTAATGCTGATGAAGATTTAGATGAATCGTTGCAACTCGTAGCACGTTGATGGACACACGGGGAGAATTGATGAGAGATCGGGAGAAATTGATGAGGATCGGTGACGGATCTTGATGAAGATGAACGTACTTCTGAAAAAATGAACGAACACTGAATCTGCTTCGTTGATATTCTTGAGGTTTGCAGTTTCTTCTGGAAAAACACGGGTGAACAAGATTGTTAATGAACGATGATGATGGAAGATTGATGCTAAGATGAAGATCTGGGCAAATCGTTGATGAAGATTGCAGATTCTGGCGAAGATGTGTCTTCCGGCGAGTGGTTGATGGAGATGGATGAAGAAGATTGAAAGATGTTTGGATGAATTTTCTGGAAAATTTCAGTTTCCGGTGGATTAACAGTCTCCGGCAGTCAGTTGCGGCGGCGAAAAATATCTCCGGCGACGTCTCCGGTCGTTTGCAAGGCCGACAGCGAGGGTTGTTGAGTGGGATTCCACGTGTGTTGCATGCAGTGAGGGGTGGCGGTGGTGGAGTCAGGGAGGAACGCGTGGCACTGAGGGGAGAGGGAGAAGGGACACGTGGGAGAGAAGAAAGATAGTGGAATTATGATCTGTCAGCAAAAACGTGAAGTGGAAACCCAAAAATGATGACACGCGTGGCGCTACTACTTATAAGACATGTGGCAAAATTTGGACTTGGGCTTTCTATAATTGGGCATCTGGCCCACTAGGACTAAATTTAGCATTAATTGGACTAAACTGGATTAAAACGTAATTAATGGAAAATGAAACCTAATTAACTGACAATTAACAAAAATGAAAATGCTAATTAAAATTGCTAATTAAAAACGAAAATGAATTAAAAAATACTGATTATCTAATGAAGATGATTAATGACTAATTAATACAACCTATTAATAAAACTATACACTAAAATCTAAAAAATCTATTTTAAAACTATTAACTATTAAATCTATATTAAGAATCTAACCAATTAAAAATCTATTAACATTCTATTAAAACTATAATATTCTAATTAAAACCTATAACACTATAAAAAACTAAAATCTAATATTATTATACCCTCTTTTTTTTTAAACCATATAAAAAACTATTTAAAAAATCTAAAAGACTATTTAAAATCTATATTAAACTATTCTATTTAATGATAAAAAAAACTAATATCTAATAGGCTAAAAATTCATTAAAACTATTAAAAAAAATAGAATATCTATTTAAAAATCTAAAAAACTCTATTTACTTCTATTAAAAAAAATCTATATATAAAAAATCTATTAAATTCTATTAAACAACATATTAACCTATCAAACTCAAGTAACTATTAAAGAAACTATTAAAATCCATTAAAAATCTAGAAAATAAAAGAAAAAATCCTAAAAATGCCAGGAAGCCGATTAAATCGATTAGAGAATAATTGCGCAACCATAGCGAAACTCGGGCACCGAGATGGCCTAAAAACACAGGGGACAAGCACCAATTCTCAAAATACACTTATTCAAACCGGCCTGAACTGCCTGAAACGCCAGGGGCTGCAGTCCCGATAAAATCAATCTGACTGAGAAAATGCAATGCATGCAGTATGCGAATGCGAATGCAAAATGTGTCAAAACATAAACCAGATCAATATGCTAGAAATCACAGTTGTAATTGTTGGCGGTGGTCCTTCTGGCCTAGCCATCTCAGCTTTACTCACACAAAACTCAATGTCTCATATTATTCTTGAAAAAGAAGATTGTAATGCTTCTCTTTGTCGGAAAAATGCTTATGATCGTTTAAACCTTCATTTAGCTAGTGAACTTTGCTCCTTACCTCTCATGCCTCATCCATCATCAGGACCAACATACCCAACCAAAGATCAATTCCTCTAATACATAGATAAATATGTCGATCATTTTGGTATAAAACCTCGTTATTATTGTGATGTTGAGTCCGCTGAGTATAATTATGACCAAATGGATCGTTGAAGCCCAAAACACCTTTGAAGGTACATTAGAAGTTTTTGGGGAAATGTTTCTTGTGATTGCCTCAGGTGAAAATAGTGAAGGTTTTATTCCTAATGTGCCTGGATTAGGGAAATTTGAAGGAGAGGTGGTACATTCCAAGAACTACAAATCTGGTTCAAAATATAAATTAAAAGATGTTTTAGTTGTTAGGTGTGGTAACTCGGGAATGGAAATTGCATATGATCTCCATAACTGGGGTGCTAACACTTCCATTGTCATTCGACATCCGATACATACACTTACTTTACTTACATTAATCATGCAACATAGGTATAATAATAGTTTGATGATAAATATATGTGTTGTGGTGATATTAATAGTTTAATATTTTTTTTGTGGGTTCATGTCTTCACTAGAGATATGATTCGCACAGGGATGCGTTTGGTGCAATACTTACCTGTATGGATTGTGGATACAACCATTACTTTTCAAGCTAAACGAAAATACGGCGATCTGTCTAAATATGGGATTTATCGTCCTAAAGATGGACCTTTATATCTCAAAAATATTACAGGAAAATCAGCTGTTATTGATGTTGGAACCATTAAAAAGATTTAGGATGGAGCTATAAAAGTTATTCCTTCTGGTATAAAAGAACTCAAGAAGAAGAATGTTATCTTTGAAAATAACATGGAGAAAGAGTTTGATGCTATTGTTTTTGCTATCGGCTACAAAAGCGTAGCTAATGGATGGCTAAAGGTAATTTTTTGTGTTTCTTTGGTCTTTATTCTTTATTTCCTTATACTCCTTGTAATTATAATTAATTTTTGTTTTGTTTTGAAGGATTACCAATATGCTCTTAATGAGAAAGGATTCCCTAAAACCCCTTTTTCAAAACATTGGAAGGGAGATCATGGATTATACTGTGCAGGACTAGCAAGGAAAGGTTTGTTTGGAGTAAAAAAGGACGCTAAGGCAATTGCAGAAGACATCAACCGAACTCTTAAGTTTGAGAATTAATTTGTATAATCCAATGAATAATCCTTTTATGCCCTTTAGTTTCTACATTAGTTAATGAAATCTATGCTGAGGATTGAATAATTAGTAGTTGTTTTGTGTTTTTATTATCTATTTATAATAAGTCTCTTCTTAGAAGACTATTACATATATCACTTTTTTAAACACAATTTATCTCATCAAAAAAGATATTGTATTTTTCATTTGTCACACACACACACACACACACACACACACACACACACACACACACACACACACACACACACACACACACACACACACACACACACACACACACACACACACACACACACACACACACACACACACACACACACACACACACACACACACACACACACACACACACACACACACACACACACACACACACACACACACACACACACACACACACACACACACACACACACACACACACACACACACACACACACACACACACACACACACACACACACACACACACACACACACACACACACACACACACACACACACACACACACATATATATATAAATAACCTTTCTAGTTGATAAAATTTAACTTGTCAATTGTAAAGAATAAATAAAAACTTCAAAAAAAATATAATTGAAGTTTGATATATAGTATGGTTGGTTGTACACGAGTCAAAATAATGTTGAATTTAAAAATAAAATATTAAGGAAGTTAAATCATGAGACCTCTAATATGAAAATTAACAAATATGAGGACAAGATAAAAAATAAAAAAGATTTTTTTTTTTTGTAGAAATAGGTTTGAATTTTCAAAAGAAGATTAATAAACTAATACAAATACCTAATTTACTTATTAGCATAATTAAAACTTTGTTTTTATTTATCACGAGTTCATAAATTATTTATTTATAGGATTTGATATGCTTGTTTGATTTTAAAAATAACTAATTAAGCTTTTCTTATTTTTATTAAAATATCTGATATGTGATATTCAATCTCTTTCATGCGAGGCATATTGGCCTAAAATTCCTTTAGATAGGCTTCATTCTTGTCATGAGTTTCTTCAATGGTTTCATCAATATCATTAGCTTATGTTGCATGAACAAACTCTAAATCACCAGAAATAATGCATTCATTTATGCCTTTTTGATATTTTTTCTTATAGGTCTTTAACGTCTTTTCGCATCACTCTTTGCCCCTAGAGGGTTGAACTTCAACTTGATTCACTTGTTTCGAAGCACCAATTACTATAATGCAACAATGATCTACCTGAGTTGTACCAGTTACTATAATGCACCAGTTACTACAAGAGTTGTTGCTCGACACAACAAGGACATCAGATGATTCATAATCATCTTGCACAATAGCTGCATTCCCATTGTCCTTACCTCCATGATTATTCAGGCGTTTAGGAAACACCTTTCTTGTGTGACCTTTCTTCTTACAGTGATAAAACTTAATCCCAGAAATATCACCACCATAGGACTTCTGCTGAGTTTTACCTTTCTTCTTCTCAAACCTACCATCTTTCTTCGACGATTGGACAACCCTTCACCAAATGATGATGATGGTTTATGCTCCTTTCTTTCGTTCAAATCCTTCGAATACAAGGCCATTTGAACTTCTTCAAAGGTTAGGGACTCTCTTCCATATAAGAGGGTTTCTTTGAAGTGAGCATGCGATTTTGGTAAAGAACACAACAATAATAACGCTTAATCTTCATCATTGATAGTAACATCAATATTTTCAAGATCAAGAATCAACTTGCTGAACATATCTAGATACTCCATCAACGCTTTATCTTCAGTCATCTTGAATGAATACAAAGCCTGCTTTAAGTACAATCGATTCACCAAGGGTTTTGTCATATACCATCCTTCGAGTTTCAGCCAAACACCAGCTGTCATATTCTCCTTCGAAACCTTCTTGAGAATTTTATCACTAAGACTCAGAATAATTGTGTTGTGGGCTTTCTCGATCATCGTTGTCTTTTCCTTCTTCGTCAGTGCAGCATTCATGCCATCTCCTCCCTTTAACGCTTTTAGAAAACCCTGTTGAACAAGAAGGGACCGAATCTTCAAACGCCATAACCCGAAATCATTAACTCCGGTGAACTTCTCAACTTCAAACTTTGTCGAAGACATCTTTTCCACGCTCACCGCACTAGTTTACTATGATCACAAACGATACCTTTCAACAAATCAAGATTGAGAAACGGAGTTCTTGCGTGAACAATAAAAACAGTTAGAACAAAAAGAGAAAGATGAAAAGGATAAAAAAGAAAGAAGAAGAGGGATTATGGTAATATTCAATTTCTCATAAGAGTTTACAAATGATTATAAATGAGTATCACAATTGGCCTCACTCAACAACCTGAGCGGGTTTAGCTTATTTATAGACAATTGGATCCTTAACACATGGCCCAAATCGACATACATATCGAAAATACATATTAGAACTGACTTCGACTATAATATGTATCCTTCGAGTACAACATGCGACCCATCTTTGACTTCATGCTTGTCTCCTGTAGTAATACATGAAAGCTATTCCTCGACAAAACTTGAGTTTGACCCAATATCTAACAAGGTTAAACATTATCACTTTGATTAGATCTCGATGCCTCATCATCAAACACAAAAAAAAATTAAATTTATTTAAAACTTTTTAATATTTACATAACTTTCAGAAATACCTTAAGTAATATAACAATTTTTTTTATATTAAATTATTGTTTAAAATTTTGAATTACAACAAATAAAAATCTTATAGGGTAAAAACTTTGTTATTAAATATTTATCAATAAAAAATAATATTTGGTTAATATATGAATTGAATAACAAAAAGATAATGTTGCCATAATTGAAAAAATCCATTTGTTTACAATTTTTCTTAGATTGCGAATGAGGGAATGTACGTAAAGTGTGGCCATAAATTCTCAGAATTTATGTAATGTTTGACAATAATTTTCCTTTTTTTATTTAGATATTTTCGATAAATATAACTTTAATGGAATCATAATAACAATTCTTACCTCAGCCGCATAAAAAAAGTGTATGCAACATGAGTAAAATAGTATTATGCCACCATAAGATTACAAATGTTTTCAATTTTATTAACCTAGGAGAGAGTCATCTAGAGTGGTAAAACGACCATCATTGAGTCATCTGAAGGTGATTGGCTCTAGCTACATGCATGTTCCTGATGCTTAGAGAAGGAAACTTGATGATAATAGTGAACATGTGATTCTGGTAGGATATCATAAGACTGGAGCATACAGGCTATACAATCCAATGAATGATAAGATCGTGATGAATCGACACATTGTTATTGATGAGAACTCTTATTGGGATTGTAACTTAGGTAATGCAACAAACAAGTCATTGATGAGTTATGGCCTTGATGAAGAAATTAGTGAGCACGAAGAAATTCCAATTATTGACATTCTTGTCACAGTCAAAGTCGAAGCAGAAAATAGAGAGGGTATGCCTAGCACAAACCAAAGACCTCAAAGAACTAGAGTTCTACAAGCAAGGCTTCAAGACTGCCAAGTATTTAGTGATGATGAAGTCACACCAGTTGGAGATTTACTTCATTTCGCTTTACTTGCAGATGGTGAACCAATCAACTATAGTGAGGCCTTAAAGAATAAATAGTGAAAGGAGACTATGTCGAAGAGTTACAAGCGATCAAAAGAATCATCACATGTGAGCTGGTCGAATTTCCAACACACTACAAGAAATAACGCTTTTCATGACGAAGCTTTCACCTGAATAATAGAAAACTGAGGTATAAAGCTAAGGCACACTATTTTTTGTTGTTTTAAAAAAACATAAATACGCAGATGATGCAAATGTCATGATGAATGTACTAATTTAGGGATTCAGGGTCAAAATCAGGGTATGACATGTAGATAACATAATAAGATAAAGAGAAAAAAAAAGATTGAAGAAAACAAATAAATAATATTGACATTCATTGCAAAAGGAAATAAATTAGGCTTGATCTCTCTTGCAAGAGCATAGTCCCCAACAGAGTCGATTATGTAAGGGAATGATATTAGCACCCCTCACATTTGTTGTACTCAACGAGAACCATCTAGTTAGATTTGAGATTGAACTTTAGTGTATGTTGTTTGTTTTCTTTGGGTGATCAAAATATTAAAAGGAAAAGAAAAGGGGTCACAAAAAGGTTTTTATTAAGGTGCTTTGCGAGATTGTGGGTCTCGCTCCTACGTATCCTCAAGTACGATAAGGAATTCAGGCTACGTAGTTCTTTGTAGAAAACTACATATTGGCTGGTTGATTTTAATGAACGACTATTTAGATCACATTCAAGCGGTTAAACATTGCTCGTGCTTGCGATTGAAGGCTTAAAGTGTTTGTTTATATTCACGATAGAATAAACTAAAAAGTGTTATTTTGAAAAACAATTGATTGCACGCGGGAGAAAAAATAGGTTTGATGTATTAAGTTATTTTTTTAGGAGGACGAGGAAATTTCGTGCAATATGGCATGCGCCAATCACCCACTTATTCGAGGAGCGGAAATATGTGTATCTCCTATTTGTTTTCTTCGCCCAATTCAAAGTTTTGAATAATATTTGCAGAAGACAAATATTCGTAGTAGCAAGGCATGCACCTCCCACTTACTTATTCAAGGAGAAGCAAAATGTGCACCCCATTTCTTTTATGCAAGTTTGATTATAGTGTTTTATTCGAAAGACAGAAATTCGAGCAATATGGCACGCGTCAATCACTCACTTATTCGAGGAGCAGAAAGACGAACATCCCATATTCCTTTTTTCATCCGTTTTTTATTGAGAAAAATATTTTAGGTATTTTATTTGAATAAGGAAGTACAATCGATAAGGATCGAGGGTTGATTCATTCGAATTCGAAATTAATTGGAATAAATGAGTTTGTAAAAATTACCGCTTGGCATTGGATCCAGGGTTTTAATGTGTTTGAAAATATTTATTCAATTATTATTTATTCATTTTTATTTAATTACTATTTAAT